GATCAGCCCCCTTCAAAATCTGCCCCCTTCAAAATCGGCGCCCGGACCGGTCCCCTCCTTCAAAATCGGCCCCGGGGCGCTTTATTATGAGGTTTCGCGTTGACGAGGGCCCCCCCAAATAATGCCCAACAAGGCCGAACAACAAAGACGACGAGGCCTACCCCCGTCACGCCCCCTCCTCCTCGTCCTTCCCCTCCTCCTCCTCCTCCTCCTCCTCCATCCTCCTCTGAACCCTGCCATTATTGCCCCCTCAGCCGTTCCCCAGAAAGAAAAGTGAGGGGAGGTTTTCTTTTTGAGTCGCGGACCCGCTCGGCTGGCCGGGAAGCGCCGCCGGGCTCGAGTGGCAGATTCATCGTTTTTTCACGTTCCGTATCATCGTAGTAGTCCAGGCATTTCTTCTGGACGCCCATGTCGCCCAGGCAATGGTGTCTGGAATTCCCATGGCGTTGCATTCTTTCTTCATCGCGAATTGGTTGGGCTGTTGTTGTTGTGGGGCCAAGACCGACAAGAAGAAGGGGGGATGTACACCCATGCCGTGAAGCCGCTGACGCCCCAGACTGCGCGTTCGGACATATTGTTCTATTGCAGCGCTGTACATTGTAATCTCTTCAATGAAATCATGAACTCGCCTTCTTTGCGAGACGAGTTATGGGGCCTCCTTCAATCTTTGTACACCGCGCCTCAGAGCGTGCAAGCTGTGGAAACTCACCCGATTGAGGACGTGGACTGGAGCTATTGGGAGCGCCGCCTACGAGACAGCAGAGCTTCCAATCGCTCGTCGGCGGCAGCATCAGCTTCGGGAACATCAGCCGCCAGCGAACCAACAGCTTTGGGGGCATCGGCCTCCAGCGCACCAGCAGCTTCGGGAACATCGGCCGCCAGCGCACCAACAGCTTCGGGAAGAACATCAGCCGCCGGCGCAGCGGGAACATCAGCCGCCAGCGCACCATCAGCCGCCAGCACAGCGGGACCATCAGCCGCCAGCGCACCATCAGCTTCGGGAACATCAGCCGCCGGCACAGCGGGAACATCAGCCGCCAGCGCACCATCAGCTTCGGAAACATCAGCGGGGTCACCGGCCTACAACGCAGCTGCAGCATCACGGCCAGCGGTGCCATCAGACTGCAACACAGCAGCGGCATCATCATCACCAGCAGAGGGGCCACCAGCAGCGGGATCATCATCACCAGCGGGGCCAGCAGCGGGATCATCATCACCAGGGTCGTCGTCAGCGGCAGCAGCAACGCGCTGCCGCTACGGCGTCGTGAACCTGACCCACGAGAGCCCTGTCAAGCGCAGCAAGAAGGTGCAGGGCGTTGTTCGGTCGGCCGCGAAGGCGCGGGGGGACATGCTAAACAGTGCTGGGCGGTAGTAGTAGTTGGCGGAGGCGGAGGAGGAAGAGGAGAAGGAGGAGGATGAGGGGGGGGGGAGAAGAGGAGGAGGAGGAGGAGGTGGCGGAGGAGAAGGATGAGGAGGAGGGCGGGCGGGAGAGGATGAGGCGGAGGAAGGTTGGGAGGGATAAGGGAGGGATAAGGTGACAGAGACGAGGAAAAGAAAGAGGTCAAACAACGACGTGGCTCTTCTTCTTTCCCCCCGGCCGATGCCCCCACCTTCGAAAAACAGATCCGCTGGGCCCTTCTTCTTCTTCTGGGAACCAAACTCACCCACCCCCCTGAACCCAAATTTTGAGCATTAGATTATCTTTTGTTTAGGAGGTCTGAGGCTGGATGTAGGAAGCGAGCCAATTGTGCCCTGGAGATGGCGGGGGTGGCCATTGTGTCCCCGCCGCTTCGCACAATTGGCTCGCCCCGCCCTTCAGCCTAATAATCCCTCGTGGTTATGTTGGCGCGGGGGGCGGGGGGCCCTCCGCTCAGACCGCTGGACGCCGACATTTTTTTCTCGGAGGGCCCCCCCCGCCCCCCTCGTTTTCTTTCCTCCCCCTCCCAAGAAGGCGACCGTGGTGGACAAGAAGAATAACAAGACGGAGGAGAAGGAGGCGGAGAAGGAGGCGGAGGCGGAGGAGGCGGAGAACACGCTGGCTGATTTTGAGGAGTCCCTGAGGCGCCTCCCCTTCCTTCTCCCTCCTCCTCCTCCTCCGCCTCCTCCTCTTCCTCCTCCTCCTCTTCCTCTTCCTCCTCCTCCTCCTCCTCCTCCTCCTTCTCCTCCTCCCTTTCCTCCTCCTCCTCCTCCTCCTCCTCCTCCCCCTCCTCCTCCCCCTCCCCGGAGGTTCTGAGCAGCCGCCCGACGCCGCGCCAGCCGCCGACGCCACGCCCGGCCGCCGACCGACGCCGCCACTTCTTCAGCCATCCCAAGATTTGTTTTTTTTGTTCCCGCCGCGGCCCCGGCGGGGCCCTGATGTTTTTTAGATATTCGCTTGGCCCTGTGTTTTTTTGAAATTATTCACTTGGGGGGCTGTCGTTTTCACCGTCGTCTGCGGCGCGTTTTTTGCCGAGGGGCCGAAAATGTCGACGAAGAAACGGGGGCTTGAAACAAAAAAACAAATCTTGGGATGTCTGCGTCTTGTTGCCTCCCCTCGCGGGCGGGCCGGCCGGCCGGCCGGCGTCGGTCGCATCTGATGATGATGATGACACTGATAATGATGAGGATGAGGATGATAATGAGAATGGTGATGATTTTGATGTTGATGATGATGAGGATGATAATGTTGATGATGATGATGATGACGGTTAATAACACTGACAATGATGATGATGGTGATGATGATGATGATGTCGATGATGCGGGTTATGATGATGGTGATGATGACGATGTTGATGATGTTGTTGATGATGATGATGATGCTGTTGGTGATTAGGGTTGTTCTTATGATGTCGCTGTTCATGCGAATAACGATGATAGTAGTAGTAGTAGTAGTAGTAGTAGTAGTAGTAGTAGTAGTAGTAGTAGTAGTAGTAGTAGTAGTAGTAGTAGTAGTAGTAGTAGTAGTAGTAGTAGTAGTAGTAGTAGTAGTAGTAGTAGTAGTAGTAGTAGTAGTAGTCTGTAACCCTGAGTGCGGGGCGGCGGCGGGCTCAATCTTTCAATTCCGACAAAGCGCGGGGCAGCAACTAATACCCCAAAAATATTCCAAAAGAATCTTCAAAATCGTCTCCAGACTGAAGAAGATGGTATCTTCCTGTAGAGGGACAGGCCCGACGTAAGTCTTGGGCCCGGGGGCCCTGGGTCGACCCCCCAGACCTTTCCGGGGGTGCGCCCCGGCCAGACTCCGGAGGCCGATCCGGCCGTGGCAACGAGGGTCCCCCCCCCCCCTCGATCGGCCCCCCCCAGTCTCTGCGTCTGCCCTGCTCGACCTCCCGCCCGTGCGCGCCGACGCTGGCGCCGCCGCCGCCGCGGGGGGGGGGGGCCCAAAGCGAAGCCCTGCGGCCGAGCGGGCGGAGCGCCAGGCCGTCCCCGTCGCCCCGGGCGTACAGACGTCGGACCCAGGCCAGCAGAGCAACCCTCGAGAGCTCCCTCCGTCGGCGGCGGGGCAGAGCTGGCTGCGCCGGCGATGAAGCTAAACGGCGGCACCGAGGAGCGAGTTGGCCAGCGTGCAAGAGCAGAGGGGCGGCCACGGAGGAGGGGGGGGGGGGGAAGAAAAGGCTACTCACGGGCAGAAGAAATCCGAAGCGCCCTCGGGAGCAGGAGACCCTCCGCCGGCCCACACCGGCAGAACTTCCAAGGGTATACCCCCCTCCAGGGAGGCACGAGGACATCCCGGAGGCACGAGGAACCTCAGCGCGCCCTCCCCGCCCCGGCCTCGATCTCGCACCCCCGGCCCGACTGCACGGTGCCCCCCAGGCCCGGACCCGCCGAGTCGGAGGGCCGCCCCTCGGGCCCCCGCGTGGGCGCGCGGGCCTCCGCGGGCGTCGGAGCGCGCGGGCGCCGACCACCCCGAGGGCCCCGCAGGGAGAGGCCCGGGAGCGGGGGCTCCCCAGCACCGTGTGGCTAACCCGCCTCGAACTTGATTATCCCTATCCCTAAGATTGACACGCCCAAAGGCGATGACAATCTTAGGGATGCACCCTCAGAAACTGAGGGAATCCCTACGATCGCCATCGCGATGAGGCGATGCCCAACATAGGGATAGGGATAGGTTCCAGGCTGGTAAGTGGCGGCAGACCGCGCGGTGCCCTCGCACATCCCCGGAAGGACCCCACCGCACGGCGCGCGCTGCCGCGCCACGCGGGGGACCCCTATAGGGGGCGGGCCGCGCCCCAAAGCCACGCGGCCGCCCCGAGGCCCCACGGGCCCACCACGTGGCGTGGTCACCGCACCGCTTGGGGCCCTCCATGCGGGACGGGAAAATGACCACGGCAACTGCTTCTTGTTTGCGCCGCCCTCCAGCCGGCCGAAAAAGAAGCAGTGGTTGTGGTCATTTCCCTGGTGCCAAGCTTGACGAAAATGACCACAGCCACTGCTTTGTCTCTGCTGGCTGGAAGGCGGCAACAAAAGAAAAGCAGTGGCTGTGGTCGTTTTCACGTCCCGTACTCCAAGACCCGAGCCTCGCCGACCACGAGCCTCTTTTTTCTCTGACTCGCGATGGCGCCCGTGATCGGCCCCGCCCCCCCCTACTCCCTCCCTCCTGGTCGCGCCACGATTCGCGACGGCGCGCGCCCGGGGGGTAGACCTTCCGAGGGCATTCCCAGACGGCGCCGCCGCGAATCGCGACGCTGCTGGCCCCCGCCCCTCCCCCCGACGCTACTGACCCCCTCCCCCCCCCCCGCCCCCCCCCCGCCCCGTCACGCCCGTTTCCTCGGCGGCGCGCCTGGGGGGAAGCGAGAAGGGGCGGGCCTCCTCAGGAGGCTCGGACGCCCCCCCCCCGGCCTTCTTCTCCCCGGAAGTCCTCTGGGCCCTCCCCGAGGCCGCGGCACACTCCTCAGAAGGCGCGAGGGCTTCTGAGAAGTCCCCGCCGCCTTCTGAGAAGGCCCTCTGCTCTTCGCTTCCCCCCCCCCCCCCCTCGCTCGCCGCCGATGGCCTCCACGGCCGCATGCGCGCCGCCAGGCTGGGCCCCCAGCCGAGGTCCTCGGGACCCTCGGGCGCGGGCCAGGCCCCGCCGGGGAGCCCCTCGCCGCGGCCCGCCCGGGGCTCGTCGGGCACGACGTCGCCGGGACCTCTCCGCGCGCCCCCCTCTCGAGCACACGCGAGAGTGGCCGTGAGGTAAGAAGAGCAGGAGGAGACAAAACGCGATGAGCATAAACGTTTTGCACTCCGCGTGGATTTGATGGATCCGCGATGGACCCCCCTCCCTGGCGCGCGGAGCGCGCCAGGGGCGGCGCCAGAGGCGCCGCCAGGGGGGCCCAGCGTGGATTCAAGAGATCCGCGCGGAGCGCCAAAAGTTTATCTTTATGCCTTTTTTGTCTTCTTCGACAGGGTGACCTTTGGTGCGCAGTTTGTGGGGGACGCGGAAGCTGGCTGGTTGGGCTCCATCCGTATCTGCAGCACCACCTCACGCCACAGCGTGAGGCGTCGTGTGCACAGCATGGGGTGCTTAAACAATCGATGCCGCCGGCCCCGGTGGTGCACGAAAATCCGGGCAAGGAGTGAGGTCACACAGTTTCGTGCCTAGCATTCTCTTCCACAGAGGGACGCAGGGTGGCCAAACACCGGCACGCAAGCCGCTGCCACAGCCTCGCGCTCTGCGATCGCGGGGCCCCAGTGGGCCCGCACCAAAGGTCACTCCGGCGAAAGGTCACTCTTGCGGGCCCCAAGAGTATACTACCACCACCACGTCGATTCCTCCTCCCTCCTCTACCCTCCTACTCCTTTCCTCCTTCCTGGGAGAGGGAGGGGGTGAGGGAGGTGGTGGCGCTGTATATGTTTGGGCCCCGTATTATGTTGCTCCCATCGTACTTGAGGGCCACATCCCAGAAATAATTTCGAGCACCCAAACAAGTGTCGAAACGGTGTCGAACGAGTGTCGACTCCCAGGGCCCGCACATGAAAACCCTCCAGTTTCGGTACTTTCTTGGTGCTCAGAACTCTGTCTGGTGATCAAGGCTAAAGCAGGTTGGAACATCATGAGCCCCGTAACTCTGACGTCCAGCCGACCCTCCCCCCCGCCATCCAGCGCACCGAGGCGGGGAGCCCAGGCGTCGGAAGGTCGGAGCAGCGCGGGCTGAGACAGCGGCGGTTCAGGATCGGCCCCCCAGCCGCCGTGCCTTGGGCGATGTCACGGGTGGGGCGGAAATGCCCGCTCCACATTTTTTTGGCTGACCCAAAAGGGGGTCCAGCTGAAAGGTGGTGGTGCAATAGATTTAGGGGCAATTGTGTTGCAAATGTACTGCGCCGAGGAATTGTATCGCATTGTGTTGCGACGAATGTGTGGCACGCGAAGATCCAGCAATACATTTGCGCCCCGGAATGTATTGCACGCCCCGTCTCCCCACAAATCTATTGCACCAAATCTATCGCACCATCCCATTGTCGCTGGACCCCATTTTGGGTCAACCCGACCTTTTCAGGCTCCCTTGGATGCAGATGTCCGCCCTGCTCAACCGTCGGTGTTTCCGCCGTGCGCTGGCGGAGATTCGCCGCCCCACCCTTGCCGGGGCGCAGACATGTCCGCCCTCACTTTCTCGCATCGCTGGGGGCGGACCCTTCCCGGGGTCCGATCGCACCAGCTTTCCGAGCTGCGCTCATCCGCGGCGACGAGGGGCCCCCCTCGGAGGCCAGCTGCCGCTGAGGATGAAGGGGCCCTGGGACACACAAATAAACACACACAAATAAGAAGATTCTCCATATTTTCCCATATGTTCTGGGTTTCTGTCTTCCCCCCCACTGCCCATATTTTCCCATACTTTCTGGGAGTCGACGACTGCTTGTGTCCGTGTGTTTTTCCTCCTCCTGAGAGGAGGCCTGCTCGTCTTCTCGATCCCAGGAGACTGCCCTCAGGCTTCGGCCTCCGCGGGCCCAGTCTCGGGCGCCAGGGCCGTCCGAGGCGAATCTGGGAGGGCACGCTGCCCACCGGGGAAGGAGGCGTCGGGAGATCCAGGGCCGGGGGCTGGAAGAGCCACGTCCGCGGGTGTCTCTTGGGGTGCGGCCGCCACGACGGAGCGCGGCGCTTCTCGGGCCCGAGCTCGAAACAGGGAGGAATAGAGAGAGAGAGAGAGAGATCCTGGCGCTGCCCATCCTCACAAGCCCCCCCGCGCCTTGGGAGCCAACAAGCCAAAAGGGGGTTGTCTCGCCATGTTCGAACACTGGGGACCGTTTCCGAGCTGAGGGACCGTGAAAAATTGCTCGGGACGAAAAACTGAGGGAGGAGGAAGGAGGAAGGAGGAAGGAGGGAGGAGGGAGGAGAGAGGATGGAGGAGGGAGGAGGGAGGAGGGAGGAGGGAGGAGGGAGAGGATGGAGGAGGGAGGAGGGAGGAGGAGGAGGAGGAGGGAGGAGGAGGAGGAGGAGGAGGAGGAGGAGGAGGAGGAGGAGGAGGAGAGGAAGAGGAGGAGGAGGAGGAAGAGGAGGAGGAGGAGGAAGAGGAGGAGGAGGAGGGGGACCCCGTATTGGCCGCCCGACCCTGGCCAAGTGCCAGGCCAGTCCTCGCCAGCTAGCCCATGCCTGGCACACCCGTGCTGGCCAGACCCATCCTGCCGCCATGACCGGTGCATACGCCGTCCTGGCTTGGCCAGGACGGCGTACACACGAGCGCTTTTTTTATTTTCGGCGATCATGGGCATTATAAGGGTGGAGGGGGGGTGGCCGGGGGGGGATATACTGTAACGCCTCCCCCGCCGCCGTGCGCACGGCGCCAGTGCCCGGAGCGCACTGGGGGGGAGCGGCGTTGCTTCCGCGAGGTGGAGTTGGGAAGAAACCCAGGGTCTCCTGAGCGCGAAAGGTTCTTGACGCCCGCGGGAAACCATCGCGGACCGCGCGGAGCGAAGAAACCAAAGATGCCCTGACGAACAACATCCGGTTTCTTGGTACGCGCCCCCACTGTACGCCGTCCTGGCTTGGCCTGGACAGCATACGCACCAGCACTGGGCTCAGGATCGAGCTGGGCAGGATCAGTGTCGGTGCACGGTTGGCGTCGCCTGACGCGGCGAGGCACGTCTCCCGGGCTCGCGCTCGCACGACAAGTCCGCCGCGGCGGCGGCTTGAACAATACGCTGGGCGCATCTCTACACCGCTACCACGCCTGGCCAGAGCCACCCTGGGCCCTGGCAAGGCCGTGGTGTGTACGGTCAAAGTATTTTGCGTAGCGTGTCGCGGCGGCGGCCCCGGCGACACTGCCTCCAGATCAGGAGGTTGGGAGCTCGCATCTCTCTTCCCTCATGTTGTTTGCTGGCAGGGCGGGCAGCGCGCCCAGTGGTAGTGCAATCACACCCGCCACGCGGAGCGCAGCGTGTCGCTCCGCTCAGCGGGGCGGGAGGCTCGGAAAGGCTGGGGACACTGGCCCTCGGCAGAGGGGACGTGGATAACGCGTCGCGCTGGGGCGCGGTGGGTCAGAACCGGTGGCGCGACACGCTGAGCAGAAGCTCCTGGCCCCAGGGTGCATTCCGCAGAGACGAAGCGCGACGCCTCCGGGGCTCGAGCTCAATCGAAGGCTCTCACGCGGCAGCGGCTCCCTGGCCACACGCAAGTGGCCTTGAGTGCGCGGCCTGGCGCGAGGGAACCACACCCAAGCGCGCAAGCCGCTGGCATCGCATCGCACTCGGTGATTAGGGACGCTATAGCTGCTTCAGACCTCGCGCGGCACCTTGAGACCCAATGTACGTCAGACCCACGTCGGGATTACATCGGGTTCACGTCGGATTACGTTTGAGTCACGTCGGATGCACGTCGGATCTACGTCGGACTGACGTCGGAACATTGCCACGCGAACGTCGTGACGTATCGTACGGGGCAAGCATGCGGACTAGAAAATACAACTATTGCGCGCCGCGTGATGTCTCCAGGATTTTCCTCATAAGTAGTGCGCCCGCACCACCCTGGCGAAACGGCACCCACTCTTACCCTGAGGCCCGACGTCGCAAACAAATGCAACACCGCAGATATCATGACCAAGCCATTCGACCACACCCCGCCTCTCTGGGTCATTTCACGAGCCGGATCGATGAGGGCCACAGGGCCCGAAACTGGGCAGAAACACCTGGTGCAAAATAGCTGCAGCGCCCAGATTTGGGTGTTCGCTCACGGGGGAGCAATGACGAGGTGACCAAGAAGCGTGCACCTTCTGTGCACCTTTTCGGCCGGTGGTGGCAGCTCAAGGGCAATCTCAACACCACTTCCCTGGAATCCTCGATTCCCACACGTTTACTGCTCCCCCGACTCTCATCCGCCCGACAAATCTCATGAGTACGTGTACTCCCAGAATTCCGACGTCGCGCGTTCTCAAACTTTCGACCCCCAAAGGGCTGGTACCCTCCCCTGGGACCGGTTTCTCATCCCAGGTCGTGGTTGATGGTCCCGACCCAGTCAAGGCCCCTGGAGGCCGAAAACGGCCAGAAACCTCGCGTCGGGGTTCTTTCATGATGAGAAGAAGAACCCTGGCTCCGGATCCGCTGTGCTTTGGCTGATTTTCCAAGCTGAATTTGTGCCGGACACGCACCCCAAACGGCGCGAAACAATAGAGCGGAAATTTCCGCATCGTAGAAATGAGGGCGGATATCTACGCAAAGGCATGGCGGGTGCAACGACGGCAAAGTAAAGCGGAAATCGGCATCAGAGGAGCCTGAAAAGGAGGGCGGGAGTTTCCGCCCCAGCTGCGACATCGCCCCACGTACGGCGGATGGGGGGTTAGGGGCAGGGCGAGCTGAGACAACGGCGGCTCAAAACCGGCCCCCGGACCCCCTCCCAGGGTCCAAGCGCACAAGTTACGTATCCGTGCTGCGTCCAGCCGTTGCGGCAAGGAGGTCCTCCAAAGGCCAGGCCACCGCTGAGAAGGACTGATCTTCTCGCCCACAGGACTGCTCTTGGCCTTAGCTGCCCCGCTACGCAGCACGCAACACGCAGCGTGTATTGATACGGAGCTCCACACGCAGACTGAAAACGTAGGTCTGACCCGATGCGTTCGCCAAAACGTGGGCCAATACGTTGAGCCAGCACGCAACGTATCGACACGGACGTTTTGAGCACGGTGTGCGCTGCGTATCAAAGCGGGCGCATCAAGGCAGCTAAGCTCTTGTCGGATCGGGGGGCAGGGGAAGGAGGAAACCTCTCCAAATTCTGTGCGTGCCGGGAGACGTCCTCCAGCGCCGCCCCGCGCTGCCAGCGTTGGCGCCCCCGTCGCCAGCCCCCCCAACAGCGACGCGTCCGCGCCTCGGGCCCCCCGCGCGGCGCCAGCTTCCATGCCGCCTTCTGGGACGCAGAAGGGCAATAGTACTGCAGTCGGGGCGTTGGCCTAAGGAGCCTCACATAAGGAACGAGGCCCCTTTTTTCCAGAAGTGAAGTGAAATTTCGATTTCCCCGTCGAAAACTTAGGGGAACCTGAGGCAAACTGCGAAACAATTGAAGAACGCGGAGCCCCTCCCCAACGAAAAGGGTTCCTTCTTCAGCGCCCCGACTGCATGCGCCCCGCCTGGATGCGCACTTCCGCACCAGGCATACGGCACAAATATCATACGCGTTGTGGCCAGAACGCGCCCGCCGCCGATCATGTTCTGCACAGTCGGGGCGTTGACCCAAGGAACCCTAAATCAGGAATGAAGCCCGCCCCCTTTTTCCATAAGTTCAACTTCGATTCCCCATCGAAAATCCAAGGAAACCTCAGGCGAACTGTAAAACAACTAAGGAACACCGAGCCCCTCCCAAACGAAAAGGGTTCCTCCTTCAGCGCCCCGACTGTATGATGCTTGAGCACGTGCGTAAGGGGGGGGGGGGGGGGGGGGGGGGGGGCGACGCACACCTTTTTCCGTCGGCGGCGTTGCAGATTTGCTGCACCAGCGCTGGACCTAGACGGGGGCACCGAGGAGCGAAAATGGCCCAGCGTGCAGGAGCGGGAGAAAAGAGACGGACGGGGCGACCGCGGAGGCGGAGGCGGAGGGATGAGGGAGGCACTCCGAAGCGGAAGACTTCCGACCCGAGGGGGCGACACACACGCTGTAGTGTTCTGGCCAAGCATCCGCACAATTGCCAGAACCCTGTGCAAAACCGTCTATTTGTGCGAGTGCACAAGGGAGTGGAGGGAGGTGGGAGGGCTTCTTAGAAGGAGGCCGTTTCTTAGAAGGCGCCGGCCTCACATCTATGGAGGAGGCCCGCGCCTTCCTCCCCCCTCCCCCCACCCCCCTCTGCGCGTGGCTGAATTTTGTGCGAGCGTGCCGCATGACGCCGCTTGGCCGGAAACCGAACCAATCCCCGTGATGCCACCCTTCCGGGGCACAAAAAGGGGGGGGACTGGCATACAGGCCTCGGGAAAAAATAGCGAACACTCATGCCACATTCATCTGTGAACGCCTCCCCTCCCCCCAATATTCAAGGTTGGCAGTGGGTCTGCTGAGTTGCACCTCGACCGCAGTCTCCCCCGCGCGTGCCAACCTTGAGTTTGGGGGGCAGGGGGGTGTTCACTGATTGTTTCCCTCTACCGCAGGGAGGGGATGCATCGACGTGGGATCGGCGATGCGTCGCCGATAAATTGGCGAGGGGCCCCCGACAACGACTCCGCACCTTCCTGGGCAGGGTGGCGCTACCGGGCCCCTATCGGCGATCAATGGGCGACTTGGGGTCGATGCATCGCCCCCTGTGTGAAGGGGCCCTGGGACACACAAATAAATACACAAATAAAGAGATTCCCAATATTTTTCTATATTTTCTGGGTTTCTGTTTCCCCCCCCGCTTCCCATATTTTTCCATAGTTTCTGGGGAATCAACGATTAATTATGTCTGTGTGTTTTTTTCCCTCCTGACTGTGCCCATCCCCCCCCCCCCCGATCGTTGCCCCCGAACCCTCGCTTCTGGCGCCCGGGGCCAGGGCCGCGGCGGAAGGCTCCCAAGTCTCCGACGGCGTGCCCCGTTCCAGATGCACGGCGGTTTTTGCCTAGACTTCGGCATCCAGGGCCCCTCGTCGGGCCCTAAAACACGCAAGCGGGAACGCTTCCTCTCGGGAAGTCCGGGACGCTGAGCTAGACGCTAGACGCCGATTTTTTCAAGCAGGTTCGGGGGCGTTCGTCGCCGCTCCGATTTTGCAGAGCACCACGTCAGGATCGCCCCTACACTCAGTGAGAAAAAAACATCATCACAAAATTGTGCGGCGTCGCCGCCCGTGACCTTCCCAACCCAAATATGCAGAGGTATGAGGCCACCATCGTTGCCAGCACCCTTTTCGTTGTATTCACCTCATCCGAAGCCTCCCTCTCCCTTCCCCTGCCCTCGGCGTTGCGTCCCCGCCTAAGCTTATCGCCGATGACCGTCGCGTGCATCGCCCCTTGCCAACTCGGCGCGCGCGCACGGCGCGCGCGCACTCCATGGGCCGACGCCCATGCGCCCGTGACCTTCCCATCCCCGTCCCTGCCCATCGCCGACGCTTCAGCCCGCATAGTCGCACTTCGCTCGCACACTGCACGCCAGCGCATCGTGCCAAGACCTCCAAGCGAAGCGCAGCGAGCTTCAAGTCTTGTGTATATATATATATATAAATATATACATCGATATGTGTATATATACACACCTATACGACCACCCTTCGGGTGATAAGGAGCTTGTGGGGGGGGGAAGAAAGGGGGGAACCAACATATGACTCAATCGATCTCACTATCGATCTCACCCAACGGGACACCACGGGACACTTGTCGATCTCACTATCGGTCTCACTATCGGTCTCAATCAACGGGACACCATGGGACACTACGGGCCACCACGGGACACCACGGGACACCGCGGGACATCTCTCGATCTCACTATCGGTCTCACTATCGATCTCACTATCGATCTCACTCAACGGGACACCACGGGACACCTCGGGACACCACATCGATCTCACTATCGATATCACTATCGATCACCGCGGGACACCGGCGGGACACTGGCGGGACACCAGCGGGGCACCACGGGGCACCGGCCGCCGGAGGAGTTACATTTGGTCCGGCCGCGGCCCAGCCACAGGAGGATTTCGGGACACCCGCGGGACACCGGCGGGACACCGCGGGGCACCGGCCGCCGGAGGAGTTACATTTGGTCCGGCCGCGGCCCAGCCACAGGAGGATTTCGGGACACCCGCGGGACACCGGCGGGACACCGCGGGGCACCGGCCGCCGGAATTACATTTGGTCCGGCCGCGGCCCAGCCAAGAGGATTTCCTCTCGCCCGCCCACGCAGCTTCGCCTCGCCCGCACGCACGCACAGCACGCACGACGCGAACCCGAAACCGAAATCGATTTCCCGGTAGAGGGGGCCTCCGTTTCACGTCGGACTCACCCCCCAACCTCCGATATATAATCTGATATAAAATATACCTATACGACCACCCTACGGGTGATAAGGAGGTTGGGGGGTGGAGGGGCCGAGCAATGGGCAACAGTGGTAATTGTTCTCCTGGCGATGCCAGTGGAGTTTTTTTTGTCGGAGGCCTGGCGAAGCCCCTCTTGTCGCCACTGGCTAAATCGCTTCAAAATATTGCTCAACGGCTGCCCTTCGGCGGTCGAGACCGATGCACCGCCATCATAGCTCTTTTTCCCTTGCTCAAACAGCGCAAACGGCTGGAAGCCCAGTGCGCGAACTCAAGGCGATGAGCGTCCAGGCATTGTTGCAAAAGTGCAACCATGCGCGCGTCAGCGTCAAGCGTGCTAGCCTCCTCGCCGGCACCCCCGAGGCGCACTGGGGCGCGCACTGGCAAAGCCTGGCGCCCCGCGTCGGCGCCGGGCAAATTGGCCACCAGCTGGTCCGGCAATACCTTCCAGTGCCCAGGTCGGAGCAGAAAATCCTTCGGAGACTCGCTGATGAGCGAAGCGACGGCTCGAAGACAAGCGCTCTCCGACGCTTCGTTTTTGCTTGCGCCTTTCCCTGTAACCTCAACCCGACGGCCATCTCCCGCTGCAAAGCTGTTCGGCAAAGTCAGGGTGCACCGCCACTCTGCGCTGGCAAGGCCTGGCGCAGCGAATTCCTTGCAGTTCTTGACGGAGCTGACCACGGGCCCTCCGTGCACCTTCGGGCGCGTGGAAGAATGGTTATGGACGCGGTGCTCCAACAGATACGCTTGGACGGCCATGGAGCCCGCGCGGCCGCCCGAAGGAACGGCGCGCGCTCGGGGAGAGCGGCTGGCAAAGCCTAGCCTGTACTGGGCGGATCAAAACGAGTGCGGGAGTGGCGTGGCAAGGACGAGGTACTCTGCTTGAGCCGAACCCCGCTAAGCGGAAAGCTTCGATCTACCTCTTGTTCTGCCCCTACTCAGATGGCACGGGCCCGAACGCGAGCAGGGCTCTCCAGAAACAATAATCAAGATACGGGGGCCTTCTCTACGTCCTTCAGGGGCCTCGGTGCGGCGCGACATTGCACCGTGGATCGGCCCCGGAAGCGGCGCAACACTGTGCGTGGTGGAGGAGAACCTGAGAGACGACCTCATTCGCTGTCTCATTCGGTCTCACTACCGATCTCACAATCCACATCACTATCGACGTCATCATCATCATCATCATCATCATCATCATCATCATCATCATCATCATCATCATCAACATCAACATCATCATCATCATCATCATCGCCATCATCAACATCATCTCATCATCATCATCATTACCATCATCATCATAGTCATCATCAGAATCATCATCACCATCATCATCGGGACACCGACGGGACACCGACGGGACACCGGCGGGACACCAGCGGGACACCGCGCGCCACCGGCCGCCCGGCGGAGAATCATTTGGTCCGGCCGCGCCTCAGCCACAGGAGACTTTCCTCTCGCCCGCCCACGCAGCTTCGCCTCGCCCGCACGGCACGTACGAACACGAAACCGAAATCGATTTCCCAGTAGGGGGGCTCTCCGTTCCACTTCGATCTCACCCCCCAACCTCCGATCTATATATCCGGGACAAGAAACTTGCCCCAGGGGATCGGGACCTCTGAGGCTGTGGATTGAAACAGAACGCACCGTCGAATGTCTGGGCTTTTGGCCGTTCTCGGCCCCCGGGGGCCCTTGCCCCCAAACGAAGGCCATGTTGTGTGGGTTTCCCTCTGAGCCCGTTCGGCGTCTGAGCCCGTTCGGCCGCCGATTCAGCGGCCGAATGGGCTCAGACGTCGAACGGGCTCAGGAAGGAACCCTGGGGTATCCGGCCCCGGGACCGTAACAGAAACGGCTCGGGATGAAAAGCCACTCCCAGGGAAGGGGTCGAGAACTCCAGGGGCCTGCGCCGTAGATCACGACGCTGTGGGTTTGGGGTGCCCTCTCATCCGACGCCGCATCGCTACTCGTGGCGGGCCAATGTGGACCGAAAGCCTTCCGTCGCGTTTTTGCCCCGACGCGAGGACAGAAGAGCATAGTTCAAGAACGCAAGACCCTCCACCGGCCAAAGCACACAGAACATCCAAAGGTACCCCCCCAGGATGCACAAGAGCACCCAAGAAAAAAACGAAGACCATGTGGGCACCCTCCCCGAACCGACCTCGATCTCATACCTCGGTCCGACTGTACGGGATACCTGTGTGCAGCCCCAGGCCTCACCACTGCCGATGCCGAAGCCCCATTCCGAGCCGACCTTGCTCGGGCCCAGAAGCTGCGGTGCGCGGAGGCCTGGCCGAGGAGGCCTTGCGGGGTGGCGTGGCACGGGGAGCTGACCAGCGGGGCGCGGGGACAGGCGCCAGCGCCCCTGCGCCACTGCATGCTCGTGCACTTCCTGGCTCAGCACGACTGGCCCAGGGACTGCTTCTGGATGGGCTGGCAGGGGTGCACGAAGCATCAACATTTGCCGCTTCGTGCGTCACGGCCACGGTCCGATGGACACCGGTGTCAACAGACCCCTCCAGGGCACCGTGCCGACCAGTGAGTGTTCGAGAGAAGTCCAGCCTGGGTGGCGATCCACAGAAGGCACCTTCACTCCACCACCATGCCTGGCCAGGGCCATCCTGGGCCCTGGCATGCTTGTATGCGCCTGCCTGGCCCTGGGTCCCATGGGTTGCCCCAGACAGGCCGTGGTGGTGTTGTGCAGGCGCATCCTGCGGAGAGCGCGTCCTGGCCAGGCACGACGATGGTGTGCTGGTGCACAGACGCCTTCAGCGGAGACGAGACGAGCTGAAGGAGCTCCTGGTGGAGCCAGGACGAGGGGCAGAGGCGGCCAGCATGGAGACAGGCAGCGCAGCGCCGCTCTGCCGCCCTGTGAGCAGCTGCCTGGCGGTCCCGCGGGGCCCCCGAGAGGTGCCTGGGCGCACGGCCGTCGGGGGCGTCCAAGAGGGGGCGCGTGCAAGATGGGGGGCGCAAATCATGACTGGCGGCATGTGCGCGGCCCAGGAGGGGTGGGGGGCCGCGAAATCTAGGGAAATACCATGCCCCCCGCCATGATACCCCCCCCCCTAATCCCAGACCCCGACATCGTGATTTTTCGCAACATTGACGCCCAAAGGTCTGGACCCCTTCCCCTGGACTGGCTTTTCGTCCTGAGTCGTTTTCTGACGGCCCCGAGGCCCGGGAACGGCGCCCGGAGGCCGCAAACTGCGAAAGATTTCCCGTCGTGATTTTGCCACAGCGCGAGGAGGTCTGGGGTCATCACCTCCGCCTCGTCCTCCGCCTCCGTCGCCGCCTCTGCCGACTCCTCCTCCTCCTCCTCCTCCTCCTCCTCCTCCTCCTCCTCCTCCTCCTTCTCCTCCTCCTCCTCCTCCTTCTCCTCCTCCGCCTCGTCCTCGGCCTCCTCCTCCTCCTCCTCCTCCTCCTCCTCCTCCTCTCCTCTCCCTCCTCCTCCTCCTCCTCCTCCTGCTCCTCCTCCTCCTGCTCCTCCTCCTCCTCCTCCTCCTCCTCCTTCTCCTCCTCCCAGGTGCGCGAGCGCCCTCTTGGCCGCCCCCGAGGAGCGCGCCCAAGCGGAGCCCGGCGCTCGGCCGGGGGCGCGGCCCTCAGACCAGCCGGCTCCGCTTGCGGCACGGGGCGGCCTGGCTGCTGCGGGGGGGGGGCCACAGGCCGCGCAGCTCGAACTGCACCTGGCGGCGCCACAGGCAGCGGGGCGAGGGGCGATCCTGGGGCCCGCGGCAGGAGAGGAGGAGGAGGAGGAGGAGGAGGAGGAGGAGGAGGAGGAGGAGGAGGAGGAGGACAAGCTAGGTGCGCTCGCGTCATATCTGACGTCCTACCCCCTCCCTCCCATCCCTCACCATGGCGCTGATTTTCTCTATCCGCGGACGCGTGTCGTAGCGGACCTGTGGCTCCGCGCGCGCGTGCGTAGTGGGTGTTGGTGCGCGTGCGTGCATGCGTGCGTGTGTGCGTGGTTGGTGGTGGTGTGGTGGTGGTGTGGTGGTGGTGCTGGTGCTGGTGCTGTGGTGGTGGTGGTGGTGGTGCGGTGGTGGTTGTGGTGGTGGTGGTGGTGGTTGTGGTGTGGTGGTGTGGCGGCGCGGTGGTGGCGGGCGGATGGGCGCGCGAGAAAGAGGCCCGCGCTGGGGCGAGAACGCCATCCTGAACGACGGAGGCCAAACACCGATCCGAAAATGAGGCCCACGCTGCAGCGGGAGCACGACTCGGAACGATTCGGGCGCAGAAATGAGGCCGGCGCCTCAGCGAGAGCAGCATTTTGAAAAAAACGCAAGCGAAAACCTGTTTCCCGGTCATCCTGTGTGTAAATTATAACCAGAGTGCAGTATCCCCAAACAGGGTTTTTAGACCCACTGCGGTTTCCAAGGTCGATTGCGTGCCCGTCCAGTGCGGGCTGGCATGGCATGTTAAAACATGCCTCCTCCTCCTC